TAACTCTAAGCAATAGTATTGTGTTATTATGCAGTTAGCTAGCTAGTAATTTAATTGAATATGGGGACGGAGAGTCACGGTGCCTCAGTGAGCAAGTGACTGGCTCACTGTGAAATAAAATGGGGTATAACGTCCTACTGTTCTGCCCCGAACTGGGCTAATGAAGACGGGCATACGCCATACAGTGTGCTATGAGTGAAATTTTGCCCGGGCAGCGGCACTACGGCCTACTCTTATATCAAATTCTAACTGTCAATGATCTTTTACGTGCACGTCAATGTGTACACTGGACCTCAGTTTTTCGTCCCATCCGAACGACTAGACAGCTGTCATTGTCAGGACCTCCGCCCTGCATCACTGACAAGGGGCGAACACGCGACCTCCAGCGTCTTAACCACTTACCCACGGTGATCCCCTGCTCACTTAGCAGAGGGGCCGGGGTTCGATCCCAGTGTTGGCAAAGACGATTTTTCAGTGGAGCAGGGGGGAGTATCGGATGGATGGGACGAAGTACAAGAACACTCGGAAGTTGCAATTCAATTGAAAATTCCATTCGATTTGTTTTATCCTTTGAAGATATTCAAAACCACGTTACCACATTCGTGAACATGTGCGACACCTTGTTCCTGAAGCAATTATACAATTAAAATTGTCTATAAAAATATGTCTCGTTAAAAAGTCTAACGCTTTACCACAAGGACCCTTAAGTGCAAGGGGGGTTGGGATGGCCTAGTGGTCTAGAGTGCCGCGCTTCGACCTCTGGCTGGCCGGTCACCTCTGGCTTGCGGCTGTGGTTTCGAGCCCTGGTGTGAGCGTATGTGGCATGGAGATAGGGGCGCCTTCTCAACCTCGTGGGTTTCCTCCGGGCACTCCGGTTTCCTCCCACTGCTAAAGACCTCTACGCGCAAGCGAATTATTGAAATAAAATTAAACCATATGTTAGTCCCGAAATGACCTAGTTGTGTCGAGTGGACGTTAAACCCCATTTCTCTCTCTCTCTCTCTTAAGTGCAAGGGGGGTTGGATGGCCAAATGGTTAGCACGTGCGTGCTGTATCATAAGGCCTGTCATTGAGTCAACTGGCGTGGTTCCGAATCCCCGGTTGTACGTGACAAGGAATAGGGTCGCCTGTCCAACCTCGTGGGTTTCCCCCTGGTCCTCCGGTTTCCTCCCACTGCTAAAGACCCCTACGCGCAAGCGAATTATTGAAATAAAATTAAACCATATGTTAGTCCGGAAATAACCTAGTTTGTGTCGAGTTGACGTTAAACCGCATTTCTCTCTCTCTCTCCCTCTCTCTCTCTCTCTCTCTCTTAAGGGCAAACAAATAACGACTGATAACTGTAGGATTCTGGTTATACGGCATTAAGATACTTGTACTGGTTTGCCTAGATTACACACACTTCTAGCACTTTTTTATTGTAATCGAATGCCAACTAATCGTCAAAAGACAATTTCCGGCATTGCACATGTAGCCATTGAAACAAGAATCCAAAGGAAATTTACAGATATGGATAATTTTCATTCTAAACAGACCAATATGTTTTTCGTCACGATAAGCCTTTAGAAAAAGTTACGACATTGGGTTATTGGTAAATTGCATTAGCTAAAAATTCATATGTATTTTCTCCACACAAATTTTCTCATTTCAAGCTCGTGTTACCAGTCCAGTGACACGTCAAATTCAATATGGGATTATTCCGACGTTATTGTTCGAGAGTGTGTGACGCAAGGGGCTTAAAAGAGAGAAAAGGAAAAGAAATCGGATTTATCAACCTACTTTTCTGCCAAAAACCAGGATAAAAAAGACAGACAAGCGCCAATTTTTTAGGAATGTATAATTCTGTTAAAAATAACATGCCGGTTGAAAATCGAAATAATTAAAGTATAGATGTTTCATTTTAGCGCGATGGGAATCACCTGAAAACTACAAAAGTGTCCAGCGTGGTTTCCCCTTGTCAGTGATGCAGGACGGAGGGCCTGACAAGGACAGCTGTCTAGTCGTTCGGATGGGACGAAAAACCGAAGTCCCGTGTACACATTGGCGTGCACGTAAAAGATCCCTTGGCAGTTGGAATTCGATATAAGAGTAGGCCGTAGTGCCGCTGCCCGGGCAAAATTTCCCTCTTAGCACACTGTATGGCGTATGCCCGTCTTCATTAGCTCAGTTTAGGAGCAGAACAGTAGGACGTTAAACCCCATTTCATTTCATTTTACAAAAGTGTAAAGGACGAATCTCTCCTCTCATAGGGACATCTGTCCACAAATGGTTCAATTCCTTTCAGTATTTACAAAGATATGCGGAATTGAAATTTCTTCGATCTATACTGTCGGCTATATAATAAGCCCACCACCATTTAGAGTTCGCGAAAACTCAATAACAGGCCTGTATTAAATCCGATTCAATCGAACCCGCGTACAGAATTAAACTGGGCTAAATCTATTTGTTAAGGCCAGTTCAATTGTTGTCAAGGTTAGGACACGTGATTGTTGGCGAGATTGTATGTTAGGGTTAGAGTAAGCATTGAGGCTAGGTCCAGGGTAAGGTTTAGGGTTGGGATTAGCGCTAGCGCTGTTTACATCTCGTGACCTATGACAAAAATTGAGCTGCCCTTATCATTTAGCACTAACCATTAATCTGAGAACATTTTAGTCGATTAAGTGATGAGAAATTTGATATTTTAGCGAAAAATGCAAATGACGCATCGTCACTTTAACAGTCGGAGAAAAATCCCCCACCCCGCCCACTACGTACTCTGTAGTCATGAGAGGGGTTCACTAGTCCGCGGTTTCACTAGTCCGCCGCTATAAGAACTACTATATATATGGGTATCAAAAACATAATCCGAACCCTAACCCTAACCCTGATAATAGATATTGGTGGACTAATGAACCCGCGGACTAGTATACCTTAGCCCCAACCCTAACCCAACCCCTATAATTAACCCGCGGACTAGTGAGCATTCCCCGGTAGTTATAAGCTCCAGTAAGCATTTAAACCCCATTAAATCAGACCACAAACAATCTCTCTAAATTGGTGATTATAGATCAAAGAAGGATCTCTGTCTACTCAGACCTGAAAATAATCACAATTAAATTCTAGCTAAAGCTTTATAACTAAAACGTTCATAATGTTCACGTTGATGTCACATTTATCACTGTTCAATTTCGTCAGATCGTTTTTAACCGTAAATTGATGACCAAATGACGTGCACAATTACCTAGGATTAGCGTCTGAACTCTTAAAGAAAAATCTCTCTGCTTAGTTAAGAGAGAGAGAGAGAGAGAGAGAGAGAGAGAGAGAGAGAAATGGGGTTTAACGTACACTCAACACAAACTAGGTCATTTCTGGACTAACATATGGTTTAATTTTATTTCAATAATTCGCTTGCGCATAGGGGTCTTTAGCAGTGGGAGGAAACCGGAGAACCCAGAGAAAACCCACGAGGTTGGACAGGCGACCCTACTCCTTGACGCGTACAACCGGGGATTCGAAACCACGCCAGTCGACTCAATGACAGACTTTATGATACAGCGCGCGCACGCTAACCATTCAGCCATCCAACCCCCCTGCTTAGTTTAGAGGCAGTCTGGCCAACTGCGGCTATGGTCGGCATTTTGTTCACCATGGGCTAATGAGCGAAGACAGGCATACGCCATACAGTGTGCTATGAGGGAATTTTTGCACGGACAACCGCGCTACAGTCTACTCTCATCGAATTCCAATTGTCAAGGGATTCTTAACGTGCACGCCAATGGTTTTCGTCCCATCCGAATGACTAGATCGTTGTCCTTGTCATCCCCTCCGTCCTGCACCACTGACAAGGAGAAACCACGCCGGAAAAGTCCCGATGAACTTTCTCGGTCAACACCGGGAGCGAACCCGCGACCTTCAGGCTAGCGAGCCAGTGTCTTACTCACTTAGCCACCTTGGCTCCCCCAACTTTTGAGCAAAGTAAATAGAAAATGATCAGTGTGACTGAAAACGAACTGAATGATAGTTATCCATAAGATTAAGTAGGCCTGAGCCAGAAACTGTGTGATAATTTGTAATCGCATATACGACTTCTTCAAAATATAGGAAGATAGAAACGTTAGATGAAAAAGTCCAAGTTGGGAATCTACAAAACAAATGCAAGAACATACAAACTGTCGGACCTGACGGAGGGAGTAGTAATATTATTATGGACCTGCATAGCTGGGTGTGGAGGTTAGGGTCATGGTGGGTCTGTTCGAGTGGCGTGCGCTTTGGACCATAAGAGATGTCATTGAGTCAATCTGATTAGAATACAGATCTATATTTTGTTTCGTTTTTTTTTTACTTCCGATGGCCTACACTACATGAAGATCTGACCAGTTTTACTGAGAGGTCGTGTCAGGGGTCGTACGAGCGGCCTTTGACCCTATGACGTCCTATTAATCAATCAGCGTTGACGTTTCTAGTGGTTTACCCACAGTTCCGTACATGGCACGCCAATAAGTAGACGTAACAGATGGTTTCATTGGTTAATACCTCACACCATGCAGAGCACATGTTATATAACAACTCTTCCAGATCCTAGTGTAGTACAGACAAATAAAACGAAATTTTAAACTATAAAAAATGAAAGGAAATGTGATTTGTGTTTTAATCAGATTGTCATTGAGTCGAGTAGCGAGGTTTCGGCCCCAAGCTTGTACGTGACAAGGAGTATATAGGCTTTCTGCTTAACTGCGAGTGTTTTCACCAAGTCCCCCCCCCATGCTAAAGGTCCCTACGAGTTATTGAAATAAAATAAAAACGAAATGACTAAGTTGTGGCCAGTGGACGTTAAAGTCATCTCTGGTGACCCCCCCCCCCCCCCGCCCACACACAGACACACACACACACAAATTAAACGATCCACGTAATAACAGTAAAATCAAATACCAAAGGAATTAGATGGTTTATCACCTGACAAGAACATCGGTATACAACCATTTAAATATTTTGTCATATTTTGTTTTTTATTTATTTTTCAGATATTTCAAGTTAGTTTTACCTGCTGATCATCCCTGTGTATTTTCTGATATCAACACCAAGTTATTGGTTGTAGGGTTATATCTACTGATAGCTATCATATTGATAAACCCTCTTTATGGATGGGGTGAATATTCAGAATATAGAGGTAAATAATAATCATATAATTTTCATAAACCTTTTTATGGATGGAGTGAATATTCAGAATATAGAGGTAAATAATAATTATATAATTTTCATAAACCTTTTTATGGATGGAGTTGATAAACGCTATTTATTCATGGGGTGAATATTCAGAATACAGAGGTAAATAATAGATTATATAATTTTCATAAACCTTTTTATGGATGGAGTTCATAAACGCTATTTATTCATGGGGTGAATATTCAGAATACAGAGGTAAATAATAATTATATAATTTTGATAAACCTTTTTATGGATGGAGTTCATAAACGCTATTTATTCATGGGGTGAATATTCAGAATACAGAGGTAAATAATAATTATATAATTTTCATAAACCTTTTTATGGATGAAGTTGATAAACGCTATTTATTCATGGGGTGAATATTCGGAATACAGAGGTAAATAAAAGATTAAATTGATAAACCTTCTTTATGGATAGGGTTAATAAACCCCCTTTATTGATGGGGTGCATAAACTCGCTTTACGGATGGGGTTGAATCAACCTGCTTATGCATTGGTGAATCAACCCGCTGAATCAACCCGCTGAATCAACCCGCTTATGCATTGGTGAATAAATCGATTTTATAGTTGGGTGAGTTAACTCGTTATATGGATCAGGTGAATAACCCCTATCTATGGATGGGGTGAATAACCCCTATTTATGGATGGGGTGAATAAACCCGAATTATGGATGGGGTGAATAAACCCGAATTATGGATAGGGTGAATAACTCCTATTTATGGATAGGGTAGTTCAACCCGATTTATTGGTGGGTTGAATAACTCCTATTTATGGATAGGCTGAATAATCCCATTTATTGATGAGGTGAATAAACCCGCTAGTATGGTATAGGAATATATGGGTCATATGTTATATCACGACATAATGTATTTGTGGGAGTGGTGCGTCTGTTCGGGAATGGCGACTACACTTCGGCTGTTACCAGCTTAAAAACTTGGGTATAACTGAAACTTTAGCCGGGATGTGACATATTATAGATGGTGTGTAACTACCACCTCCGGTTTCAGATGTATGCCACTTCCGGTTTCTCTATTGATTGTAGATTGGCCGTGCTAGGATCGCTCAACATAAATGACGCGTTAGTCTATTTAAATATTGGGGATCACGGTGGCTAAGTGGGTAAGACGTTGGCTCGCTAGCCTGGAGGTCGGGTGCTCGATCCCTGCATTGGCCGAGAAAGTTCACCCAGATTTTCCGGCGTGGTTCCCCTTTGTCAGTGATGCAGGACGGAGGGTCTGACAAGGACAGCTGTCTAGTCGTTCGGATGAGACGAAAAACCGAGGTCCCGTGTACACATTGGCGTGCACGTAAAAGATCCCTTGACAATTGGAATTCGATATAAGAGTAGGCCGTAGTGCCACTGTCCGGGCAAAATTTCCCTCATAGCACACTGTATGGCGTATGCCCGTCTTCATTGGCCCAGTTCGGAGCAAAACAGTAGGACGTTAAACTCCATTTCATTCATTTCAATTCTATTTAAATATTGACCACATTAGCGTTTAAACCACAATACAGGTGTATTAATCTCGGTCATCCAAAACCTCGTCTTCAATGTACGGAGGGTCTGGGTTGGTTGTCAAAATCTATCAAAATTTACTGGATAATCAACCATATAAAAAACGGTTACGCATGGGCAATGAATTCTATTTTTAGCTAAAGTCATGGTGACGGCGAATTAGCTTTAATATAAAAAAAACTATTGATATATGGTTCTTGAAGATAGGGATTTTACAATATAAAATTAAGAGTGTTGGATATTGAACATGCAATGCAAATTAATTTCATGTGCGTCGACATCTTGTTTTAGGGCTAGTTACCTCCCGTCGATTTTGCTCATGATAATGTAAAAGACCGGATAATCTAGCCAATGATCTAGTTATTCTCAAATGTTTACAACCCACCCAGACCAACATTCGTAAAATACTTGTCTGAATAATAGAGACTCTAGAAGGAAACGAGATCAAAAACGTTTAATGGTGTTCTACATCCATTTTGTTGTCCAGTGATAACCCATCCAGACTAATATTCTTAGAATACTTGTCTGAATGATAGAGACTACAGGAGTATGAGAAAGCTGAAGAGTTCTGTTATAAACAGCATATTGTGTCAACAAGCTTGCGGCACGAAAGGTTAAAAGGTCTAACACGTAGGGTTTTCACGGTGGGGGTAAATAACTCTACGAAACAAAGCGACAAAACGAACTGACTCCCGGATATCAATATCGACATGGTTATAACCAGTCAAATAATCGAAGAAGGTTGGAATCAGAACTCAAAAGACTGTAACACGAGGTTTCAATGACACGGAGATAACATCGACGAAGGAAAATTCTCTAATGCTTTAGCTTATAAATTGTATCATGCACTGTAAACGGACAGACAATATATACTGATGTCCAAAAGAAAGTATACACACTAAAAGTATGACTAAAATTTGTTTAGATTAAACACATTTGATAAAGCATTACTGAGTTTGTCTCTTGCGTCCAAACTCAACATTTCTAAGCAAAATAAAAATGTGAAACAAAATGACATTCTACCAAAATATCGTATACCATGGAAAAATGACTTTGGTTGATGCAGCACAAAATGCACAGTGTATACTTTCTTTTCGACATAAGTATAGTCTCTCGTGAAGGAGATGATAAATAGAGATTCTCCTACTCGTCCTTTTAGATATCAAAAATATCAACTCAAGTCGACAAGTAGGAGATTTTATTTATCATCCAATCAATCATTTCTTATGCGCACAAATATATAAATATAATTCTTTGGTACAGATTTAATTTTACTGAACTTGATTACTTGACGACGTAGTGACACATCATTTTTTTGACAGCAAGTCACCCGTTGCAAAGTCTTATATATTGGCCCGGTGTTTTCTTTAAGGTTATGGCGAGTATTGTAATTGTTTATGGTAATTGAAAACTTTTTACCAACAATATTACTGGATCCAAAAAGTAGTTACTTTTAAATAAAAAAAAGTAGTGCCTTTTTAATTAACCAATCAAATTCATGTAGATTATGAAAGTTATCACACAGGCAATATCTACAGTAGAATGTGTTATTGGATAAGACATAGTATATTTAAAGAGTGGACGTTACACCACCATACCCCGTAACACCAACACGACTATCACCACTGCTAGCATCCAATTAAACCCTTGGACTATAAAACGTGACGTGTTTTTATTATTTTCAGGATATTTCAAGTTAACTGTTCACACCACCCGTCCCAATTTAACCAGACATAATTATGATGTTACTGCATCAACTTTGTCACCCGTTCCTGTCAGTGACCTACCGCCGGTGGGTTGCGATGGTAACAACAGAACACACTTTATGTTTCCTGGAGATTACAATACAACGCAACTAGCGGAAATGTTTAGCAAGAATTTAAAAATAAACTGGAATTTTTTCTCCCGCCTTTTACACATCACCCACGAAAGCCTTGTGTTGGCTTTAAGGGCGCCGAATGAAGAGAATTTAGAAAATCTTCTGTCTGAGAACAGTGAATATACACTGGGTGATGAGTTGTTTCATGGTGCACCAAAGTGTCAAAATAACGAGTATATTCTGTGTCTGGAGTTTATGTTAAATTACACAGAAGTTGAAACATACAAGAAAATATTTGTTCCTTTTCAAGGTAAGTTGACACGATATTTTTTTATGTAAAAAGGGCTTAAGTTCTTAATACGACGGACGTATTCGGTCGGGATTATGACAGAACGAAGATGTGGCAATTTTATTTCTTTTTTTTTAAATTTTGATGATCAGTATTCGATTTTAAAGGGGTAAGCTTGTGTTTTGTTTTATTTTTTGTCTTTTTGTTTTCATTATTTTTTCGGGGGTGGGGATGGGGGGGGGGGGGTCATCATAGACAATATTTTTACTCAGTAATACTTTGAGATCTGACACCAATAAGTCAAGTTGTTACGGAAAAGGAAGTATCGTGATCTTATTAATTATCAGAGTGTTACACTAGTCAAACACGACCTTTATTCAATCTTGTCAGTAATCAATTCCAAAACTATTATACTGTGTTTTAATTCGGTCAGCTTAATTAGAAATAACATTTTTTTTTTTTTATAAAGGAGAAGAAAATGTGTTTTAATTCGGTTAGCTTATTTAAAATTAAAGTATATATTTATAATTTTTTTATTAGGAGAAAAAATGCGAATTAATTCGGTTAGCTTATTTAAAATTAAAGTATATATAATTATTTATTACGAGAAAAAATGTGAATTAATTCGCTTAGCTTAATTAAAATTAAAGTATATATTATAATTATTTTAATTCGGTTAACTTAATTAAATTTAAAGTATATAATTATTTTATTAGGAGAATATAGAATCTGTGACCTAGGCTACTGTCCTCGATATTGCAGAGAGTTGACAACTGATTGATACAAATATAGTCATCCCATAGCAACATTTAAACACACTGTTTCTAATGTACGATCACACATCCGAAGTTATTTAGTTTTTCAACATTTGATTCTGACGTCAGTATATAAATGGTGGACAGTCACGTAACACGACCTCGTCTTCGACACTGACCTATTTATAGTTGTAGTCTATTTTTAGTTATAAGCGTAGTACAATTCCTAAGGACAGAGAAATAGCTAGTTCACATTTCGAGGAGAATCATTTTTGTATACGTCCGGTTAGCTCCCATGATCTATAGCCCTGGGTGGAAACTTTGTAGAATATTCCCTGACTGTACACTGTAAAAAGTAAATCTGTAAAAAAAAAAAGAAATTATTCTGGCAGCAGATTTATTCTGTGTTTTTTAGTTTTTTTTTTCTTTTTAACAGAAAATGTCTGTTTAGCCACAGCAACATGTTTCTTTTGAATAAAAGATAAAATTACAGACAAAAATCTGGTAAATCTGCTGTCAGAATATTTTCTGTTCTTTAACATATTCCCTGACTATACACTGTATACTCTATATCCGATCGGCCTCATCTCAGTAGCAAGAAGATTCCAGTTATATTCGCCCTTTCTGGCGCTTTACTATGACATCATTGATGAATCTCCTCATTGGCGAATTATGCCCTTTGTTCTATACACAAATACTTACCTTCCAGGGAATGACGAAAATATTAATGATATTTAACGACAATTAGATAACCATAATGAATTTCAAAGTTTGACAACAAAAAAACAACAGAGTTTACCTGAAAAGTATTTACCGGGTGGTTATTTCCAATAAAAGTATGGTAATTTTGGTATATATGGAAAGTAGAGATATCCAATCTTACTAGAAAAGTACGGGATTCCCCGAAAAACACCCACGGAGCGTATACAGGACAAAAATGTAAGGGTTCCCCTAATCGACAGCCCGACGATTAGGAATTTCTGAGATAAAAATGACGGAAAAAGGCGCGGGTAGTGGATAATCCGAGAATTTAATTAGGATTCGATATTTGTAATAAATACTAAGCGATTAAAGACAACATCGGCTTATGTTTGCAATGAATTCTCCTCTGACTTTCAAGAGAGGTAAGTCACGTGGCGTAAACATGACCTGGTTTGATCGATTTTTTATAGCCAGGGTATTCCCCGACAATTACAATGTTTGAGAAGGATTTGAAGCAAAATTATGACAAATTAATTAGTTTGAATATGTTTTAGTCCATACCATTAAATCACCCAGTTTGTACGCGGGAAAGTATATGTAAATGATATTGAAAATAATATGTTATTAAAATTGTTGTAAGCTATGTCGGTCAGAGGGGCAATTATTCTTATAAAAGAAACCCATTTCGTCGTCACATACTTCAACAACAATAAGCCATCACAGCGTCTTATTGTTTTTGTAATAGCCTGCTTGATTGGCAAGAAGATTGGGTGTTTCAAAGGCTTGTCGAACAACGCTACTCTCTTTTGTCGACAGAAAACACTTAAACATATTTATACTTTTCAAAACAAGGATTGTCTTCATTGCTAGCGAGATTGAAATACTAATGGCTCGCTTGTTGTAATTAGTTTAAAGTTACAATTTCATATTTTCTAAGAAAGTCAAAACATAATTATTTCTATGTCTTTTGCTCAATAGGTTGTCAACTCATTATTATACGATCATAGGTGTCATTCTCACACTTAAAACTCATTTACACCGGAAATAATAACACAATTACCTCCCAATTACCTCCCTTGTTTTCTATTCTCCACCATGGAGTAGTTATCTTCAAACGTTGGAATTTGAAGATGAAAATGATATTTTTGCCAATTTCTCAACTGGCAATAGTGAATTATAGGATTAATAGGATTATTCTTTAACAAGGTAGGACTGTTTATAGATACCATCTATTTTAAGGCTTTATTTTAATCAATTTTAAAAAATATAACGTAAAAATATGAAAGTTCAACTTTAAGGACCTAAAAACGAGATTTTAATAAATAACAAGATATGGAAGGTTGTAAAGTAATGTAGTATATATCTTAGTAATGAAATTAGTTTGGATGTTAATAAATTTTAAGAGGCGTTGGATGGCCTAATGGTTAGCGCGAGCGCGTTGTATCATAAGGACTGACATTGAGTCAAATGGCGTGGTTTCGTTTTCCCGGTTGTACGTGACAAGGAGTAGGGTCTCCTGTCCAACCTCGTGGGTTTTCTCCGGGTCCTCCGGTATCCTCCATCTGCTAAAGACCCCTACGCGCAATCGAATTATTGAAATAAAATTGAACCACATGTTAGTCCCGAAATGACCTAGTTAAATCCCACTTCTCTCTCCACCTGTCACTCTCTCTCCCTCTCTATAAATTTTAAAACAGGAAACTTACTTTGCGCACATTCTTTTACCATTGCGAGTTTGAAATGTTAAGGGCTCGTTCGTTTTCATTTAATATCAAAGACGACATAATATAAGACATTGTTATGCCTCTCAGATTTGTGATTAATATACGTCTACATAATATCGGAGGGTGGGTGGATGTGAACAAATGATACAGTAATGGCTAACTACAATACAATCTACGTCATTATACATGGATTTAATGTCGCCTTAAAGGAGTCGCTACAGATAGACAATACTGGGGTTAATGCTAAATGATAAGGCAAGCTCAATTTTTACGAAATGTAAATAGGGCTAGCGCTAATCCCAACCCTAACCCTGGCCATGAAACTAGCCCTAATCCTTACGCTTACTCTAACCCTAACCTACAATCTCGCCAGCAATAACGTGTCCTAATCTTATTTACATCTCAACGATCTTGTCAAAAATTGAGCTGGCCTTAATAAAAAGATTTAGCCCAATACTGGACATATCTGTTAAAATGCATTCCTTTATTCGCCAGTAGAAACATGGGACATGAACCCCATTTCATTTTCGATTTACATTGTCCCAGTGTAACACTGTATAATGATCTTCTTACACTGTCACATTTGTTGTTGGCTTAAAGGAAACGACACAGATATATGGCAGTGAGTCAAATTGATTAAATGCTATGGATACTGCTAGGTAAATATTGTGTACGTCGAGGGATGTTCTATACGAGGGGTATTCTAGACATCTTTAAGTGGCATTTAGTAATTGAACAGTAACACACTAACACTATTTATGGAATAACAATTACTGCTTTATTAAGATGCATCGTTTTGAGGATGATACTGTAACTACTTGATTAGGGTTTGTCATCATCACTTTGATTAGTGCTTGTTATATATAATGTCTATATTTATGGCTTGTTTTTACTGTATATAAATACTAGATGTTTTACATATATGTTATCTTGTCTACGATATCACCTTAGGTGGAAGTGGACGTAAAACCCCCAAAACCAACCAACCAACATATATGTTATCACCTCGGTGGAAATGAAATGGGGTTTAACGTCCTACTGTTCTGCTCCTAACCTGGGCTAATGAAGACGGGCATACGCCATACAGTGTGCTATGAGGGAAATTTTGCCCGGACAGCGGCACTACGGCCTACTCTTATATCGAATTCCAACTGCCAAGGGATCTTTAACGTGCACGCCAATGTGTACACGGGACCTCGGTTTTTCGTCCTTGTCAGGCCCTCCGTCCTGCATCATTGACAAGGGGAAACCACAGACCCTATTTCGTTTCGTTTTTTATAGTTACAAAAATTCGTTTTATTTGTCTGTACTACACTAGGATCTGGAAGAGTTGTTATATAGCTTACATTCTGGATGACGTGAGGGATTAGCCAGTGAAACCATCTGTTACGGCGAACTGTGCCACTAGACACGTCGACGCTGATTGATTAATCAATGTCTGACGCGACCATTTACTACAACCGGTCATATCTTCATATAGTGTAGGCCATTAAAAGTATAAATAAACGAAACGAAATATAGATCTGTATTTTAGTCAGATTGAACGTTATTGAGAGATGAATAATGGGCATTACTCAACAATATCGCAAGTACTGGAGCGGAAACCTGTTAGAATTTTAAATTAATATAAAAGTATATATTCAGAATTGGTATGATAAAATACTGATTACTGTCACTTTAAGTTGTTCCTGTGCCAGTAGACGGAAACTCTTAGAATTTCTAAATTAATCTAAATTCATATATTCAGAATTGGTATGATAAAAAACTGATTACTGTCACTGTAAGTTGTTCCTGTGCCAGTAGAATGGTACTTGATCAAATACTTACAATTATTAAAGAG